ATTACGAGGAAAAGATTAATCGACCGGAAAAAGAAGCGAATATTCAATCGAACTTACCCCAACTACCTCCAGTTTCTCCTGTAATAAAAAAAGGTAATGAACCGGATTTAGAGCCACATATTGAAACGTATGAAGTCAGATTACCACCAGGTTTTTCGGAAAAGAAAAAGATTAATCGACCGGAAAAAGAAGCGAATATTCAATCGAACTTACCCCAACTACCTCCAGTTTCTCCTGTAATAAAAAAAGGTAATGAACCGGATTTAGAGCCACATATTGAAACGTATGAAGTCAGATTACCACCAGGTTTTTTCAAAAAACGTTAGTCATCCATAGACAAATTTCAATATTCAGGTGAACAATTAAACTACACAATGTCAGAATTAAACTACTTTTAATAGAATAGATAGAAGAAATCAAAAATAAAGTCAGACCGAAAAATTTCAATTGATCGTAAAAAATATGTTTATTGAGTTTTATGTTATAGTAATTTACGCATTGTGATGTTCAAAATATATTTGAGGAGTTACTTAACTACACCTATACAATATTATACGATTTTTACCATTTTTTAAATTTATGAGTACTATATATATTTACTGAAAATTAAGGTATTAAAAATTAATTTTTTTATATCAGTCTATTTATTATTTATTATATATCTTCATTTTCCAGTCTTATAAAGTATTTTAAGTAGGAAGAATTGGTCACTAACAAAATCACAAACCGCAAAATACAAGGTTAACTACTTTAACATATGTTTATTAGTATTAGGTTTAGTTTTAAATTGAAATAAATTATATCAATGTTAAAACTGTATCAAGTGTTATGAATAATATACTGTTTTTTAGTATAAACCAAGGTGGATTCACACCCGCATCGTAAACAATATTTAAATAAAATCAATCAAAGATATTCTTCCAATAAATAAAGAGTGTTTCATAAATGACGCAAATTTTAGTTTCGCAATAATCAATTTTATTTTATAAGAAATATATTATAAATAACACATTTCGGTTTACTATGAGTTGAGGTTTAAGTGTGACGTATGGTATCGTGCATATTACCCCCTCTACTCGCTTAACACGCAGTAAGATTTTTTTATTAATTTTAAAAACATTGTATTCCAGAATGTTGAGAAGTATCTATTCAAATACTCATAAGGGGGTTGTAGCCTGATAAGCACTCTCTTGGTTTTGGTTAGTTACTGACAAGTAATAGAGTATTGAAAAAAGAATACTACAAAAAATGTAATGAGAAGTTGAAATTAGTGGTTTGGTTAAATAATCAGACACGATGTGCACGATAGAGAAATACGTTGATGCGAAGAATCCCAAAAGTTGAAATGTATATAAAAAGACATTATATTATGAAGGATCAAACATGCGATTCGTATTTATTACTAAAAAGGAAAACGGACGACAGAAACCGATGGAATGAAACTGCAAACCAATCTGAGGATTGACAGCAAGGGAAATACATATATTTTTATTTCTAAAATATTTCGTTTGCGTATAGTGTCAGGTGTTGGCTATTGCGACAGTCGTTAGTCTTCGAAAAAGTTTTCGTGTCATTAAACATATTTTATTATATCATTTTCTATCCGAACAAAGCACCACCTTCATTAATAACATTACTAGTATAACTAACAATGATCCTAAATTACCGCACTTACAACAATAAAAATTATTATTATTATCCCGATGAAAAAAATAATTAACATCGAACGTATTTAAAAACGGATATAGTAGTGTTCCTTATTCCAAAAATTATCTCCGAGATCGGGCTACTTTACGAAGCGTAAGAGTTTCTTTTGTAAGGCGTGTGCTTAAGCCAAAACACGCGCTGGCATCGGGTCCCTTAATTTCATCACCACATAATATTCCGGTGCACATTTCAAGGTGCAATAATTAGACATTCAATCAGCACGAGAGATAATTTTTGGCCACATCTACACAATCTTAGGCATTCGTTTAGAAAAGAACAAAATCCCATTGAACGTTTCAAATTATTTCAGGTTTGATAATGATTCGGCGGGCATTGAGTATTATTCAATTTTTATTTATTTTTTTTTTTTTTCAGTTCTACATTAAATTAATATTATTATTCAATATGGAATTATTTATATCACGCTATGACGAATAATAATATTATTATTCAGCATACGAAAGCTGGCTGTGAACGATGTGTTGTGTTGCCTATCCACATCAACCGAATTTATCAGATATTCGTTTTTATTTATTACGGATAACCATAACGTTTTTTTTTATAGTAAGTATGTCTATTTCGCCTTTATAATGAACCTACCGAAAAAAATGGATTGAATGATGTTCAAAAATTGTCATTGATGAAAAAGGTTTTCAACTTTCATTTTAGTATTTCGAATTTAAATCTGTTTCGTAAACTATTTAAAGTAAGAAGAAATTGTAACTAGTAAAAGAATTAATTACAAAATACAATCTGAGTTTCCATAACATATTTTAAATTCTAAACGGAACAAGTAATAACAAATTATGAATTTGTTAATAATGTTTCACTGTAAATATTATTCAGGTTTTAGTGTTATTAGCTCATATAGTTATTATATTATAACAGTATAATTTATATTTAATAATATTATAATATTAATAGATACATTTTTGCCTGTCCACGTTTCTCGACTAGCTAACAGGCCCAGTCCTCCCCTGATAATTACCAACACTATGCAAACGAGTTATGGTGTAGAAATTATGGTTTGACACATTTTGGTTTTTATTTTGAAGTGCTTCTGTAATAAGAGCAAATGATCCCAATGCTAATTTAAAAAATTCATTATAATGCTATTGACTACAAGTGTAATAAATTAATATTTCTTTTTTGTTTCCTCAAAAATATATTAACATTATTATTGTATTATGGAATGACACTCTACTTCTTTTTCTTATTTAGTATTTTTATCATTTAAATTGAGGAGTTAATATAAAATATTATTAATATTTAAATTTTGTTGACAAATGTCTACATTATTTTAAATTGGGAAATGTTAAGTATTATTCCTTATTTAAAATCTTAATCAGTTTCTGTTTACTTTTAATTTACGTTAAAACGTATAGTTTATAAATGGTTCTATTTTGTTGTTTTGATAATAATATTATATTATAAAGACTGTGAAAACAAATATAATCGTTTACTTTTAAAGACAATTATAATATATTTGTATTTTTGTTACATTCAAAATAAACATATTATAATTGGAAGTAGTTTATTTCCTTTATTAAAATAAATCGAGTAGTAAATCTTTAATGTAAGTCCTTTAAAGATCATTTAGGTCCATCGACAGCAATCTTATCTTGCCTCATGATGCCTCGACCTGTCGACCTTCGTCTTCCACCTAGCCAGTGGTGGTTTTGAGAGGGGGGCGAAGACAGATGATTAGTTTGTCATTGAAAATTTAAAAAAAATAAACTAACATAGTTAACAAATTAATACGAATTATAATTCTTTATATATATATATATACATATATGCAGTATGTACACATATTATATACAAATACATACATTAGGTATATATTATACATTTATACTGGTCATATCGAGTGACCTTTGTCCTTTAATATCGTCGTGAACCTTAAAACTATATAGGTATAGAATTTTATAAACAAAATTAGACAAATTTATTTCATAATATTTGTATGAACCTTAAACGGGATATTTCAGTATCTTTGTTATGTGAGGTTTTATTCTACCTAGTCAAGCGTTTCTGTTTTTTTTTTCATTAATGATGATAATGATAATGATTGAAACAAAAATCGTGCCGGCCAAGGGTTTCTTAATTTAATTACTACATAACATTCTTGTGCATATTTTAAGGGGCAATAGTTAGATATTCAGTTAGCACGAAGGACAATTTTTGGCTGTAACAACACAATTTTGGGCATTCGTTTAAAAAAGAACAAAAACCCCATAGAACATTTCAAATTATTGCAGGTTTAATAGTGTTTGGGGATATTGAACATTATTAAATTTAATTCATTTTTGTTTAGCTCTACGTTAAATCTAACCGAGTACTAAAGGAATTATTTATGTCACACGTTGATGACCTATAATAATATTATTGTTCAGCAAACGAAAGTAGACTGTGAATAATGTGTTGTGTTGCCTATCCGCACCAACCGAATTTATCGGACATTCGTTTTTTTATATCGGTTTACCGTAGCGTTTCGTAAAGTAGATATTTTTATTTCGTATTTATAATACGGCTATCGAAAAAAATAAGTTCAAAAAAAAAATTCAAAAATCATCATTGATACAAAGGTTTTTCCACTCTCATTCTAGTATTTCGACTTTTAATACGTTTTGTAAAAATTAGTTCCATAAACTGTTTCAAGTAGGAAGAAATTATAATTAACAAAAGTATTAGTTAAAAATTCAAGCTAAGCTACTTTAATAAATTCTAGATTCTGAGTGAAGTGAGGAATATTGTTTTACAATGATGATTTTATATTCCGAGCGTAGTTAGGGAACTATTGGTTTTACTAAGATGTTTATTTTTTTTTTGTCTTTCTTTTTTTTCTTCTACTCTGTGGACACCTTATTTCTCAGTAAACTTATTCCGATTTTTACGTGACACAACTTTTCTGAAAGCACAAATTGTTTAGATGGTACTTTATACGCTATTTTTTTAAATAAAAGCATTTAAGTGCGAAAAACGTAGGAAAACTAACAAGTTCGCAATTTCATTGTTTTATAAAAACACAGACGACGTTTTCTACCAGAAAAATGATATACTCGAAAAAACACAAGACACCTTTCTTGTTGCCTTTTTGATTAAATTTCTTAAGACATCATTGCAAAAACTTTTAAGCCGCTTTTGAGCTTTTAAGGAATTTTAATTCTTAGGAGTTTGTTTGCTGTAATTCGGTTATAAATACACGTAAAGGCTTGGAATTTGGTAATAATACTAATATTTAACTAACCTAAACGCGGCCAAATTTCCAAAATCATCGGACGACTTTATTAAATTATTTTACAATGGTACTTTATTTTTTTTTTATTATTGTAGACCACTTTTATCCTAGAAAACATGCTTTTATGTACTCTTGTGTACTCTTATGGACGTTTTCTGAAAGTCAATTTTATCTATTTGGTAAATACACAAGTAATTTTTTGATTTTCGATCCGATATTTAAAAACAATTAATCGGGAAAAAATAAGATTTTTTCATGATTTCGTTATTTTAAATAAGTACCTACCACAGTTTATAGCACAATTATAACTCCAATTGAAAAACGACAAGAAACCCTTTTTGTTGAATTATTAATCTTATTTTTAATGATGCAGTTCGTTTTTTTTTTTATTTTCGAAGTAGTTTTCATAGTAATCGGAAAAAATGTAGGAAGGTTAGGTTAAGAAAAATTACGGCACTTCAAATTATGTATTACCGAATTGCGCTCGGAATCGTCTTTCGTCAGCAATGGTTTATCGTTGCTATTTTAGATTCCGTATATAATGAACAAGTTATTAATTTTATAAAGACGTGTTTTTTTCCTTGAAAACAATTTTATTAACTACCCGCTGCTTTATTTTGTTCCCAAAATATCTCAAAAGTTACGGGATTTTTTAATAATTACTTTATTCGAAACATTTTTAGACATTTTCAGCAGTTCACCGATCACCCTCTCAGACTCAGGGGCGTGATTAAAGTTGGGCTAAAAGGCTATTAGTCCCCCTGGATCGACTTAAGTCCCCAACATTTTTTTTAAACAATTTATTGGTTGCACCATTGTATTTATTTAATAATATTATGGTGAGGCTCAAGCCTCTCCAAGGTTTATGAACTAATTGCGCCACTGTTTTCAGTCTTTTTTTTTATGTTGGTAAATTCGAAGTTATTATGGAAAAAAATATCACTAATTCTACTGCACTCAGAATTATTTTTTCTTTTGCTATGCTATATCGTTGCAAATACTATGTGCACTAAATAGTATAAAAACTAAACTACCCTGTTCATCTTATTTTTCCAACTACCCATTTACAACCGTGGCCTATCCGTGAGAAGTATCAAAAAGTGTTAAATATAATTCTTGTATTCTAATAATATAATTGGCATGTCGCGCATAGTGGGTAATACAATAAATAACTCGATTCAGTAATAATGTGCAAATAAATATATTTATCAGATAATTTCTTTAGAAATACCGTATCAGATATTTCATGTGCAACGCGAAGATTTTTGTAGATATTTTAACAATACTATACTTCATAAAATATATAGGAATAAAATTATATTTTGGAATTTGTTCAACTACTACAGTAGATGATGACAGTCCTGCCGTCCTTCGAAATAATTAGTTTTATTTTAAATGTCAATATTTATTGTTTTTTAAATTACTTTTCTCGATTTTGCAACAAAGTCGGATCACATACCACGAAACGCCAATTACATTGTTATAACTTTAATAATATCGAACGCCCATATTATTTTCAATGTTTCCTACACATCTATACAGGCCCTAATTTAGGCATGTGTATGCGTTGCACAAGCACAGGGCCCCCGGATTCCGAGAGCCTCTTCCGATTCTATAAAAAAAAAAAAAGTACACTTTTATATTTCATAGTATACTTTATATTTTTGGTAGATAAATAATTGATAAGTGTTGAATAAGTAATTATTATATATATCAGAATGTTAAAATTTTAACAAAATTCTGATTGGACATGATTTTGGGCGGAATGAAGAAGTTTTGCTATGGTTTTACAATTGTATTTATTTAATTTTTTTTTTTTTTTATCTGTAAACTACTTTTATACCAGAAATATTGCTCCGATTCACAAGTGTAACACTTTTTCTAAAAGAAAATCTGACTGGGGAAGTACTTTAAATAGGTCAATTTTCGATTTCCCCGTGATTTTTCCTAACCAATGGTAAATACCGGGAAAAAACTTGGGAAAACCGGGAGAACGGCAAAATAAGTACAAATATTATTAAAGAAAATATGTAATGCGTATGCAATTATTTTACCATAATATGACACATATATTGTTGACAAAGCAACACTTTTAACTGAACTTAAATTAACTGGTTAATTGTTGCTTACAGATGTACATTAAATTCCCGTGTGTATTCTACCTTCTCAACTTCCTACCTACAACAACAATGGCTGCGCCCACGTGCGAAGTATTTTAATTGAATTATATTACATGTATCTGTTGTATTTTGCACTTAAACGTTTAAAAACTCGAATACGTTTTTCTTCAACTAAAATAAAACTGAATAATTTGTTTTCCGTTACTGGCCATTAATCGTTCGAAAACGTTATTGGTGAATTTGCAAAAAAAAAAAAATGTGTTCTATAGATGTAAATTAAACCTCTTAAATAAATAAAGAAATTTTTGTTTTTAATTTTTACCGGTTTCTTTGTTAATTCCAATTGGGCCCAAAAATGTGTATTACATATAGCTTCTGTTTCTTTAAATCAGGCCCTGCACCTATTTATATATATATATATATATATATATATATATAAATAAGCACAATTATTAGCTTATTACCTATAATATGTTAAGTTAGGTTACGTTAGTTTAATAAATAAATTGAATGCGCGGCTATTATTTCTGGTGTTTATAGCATCGATGGATGAAAACAGTAAAATTTTTTGCGGTTCGCTGTGTTCTGCAATATTTTTTACACTCGTTAAATTCATTTATTTATTTATTTTATTTTTTTTTTTTGTTACGGGTTTATTAATCGTGAATTACGTTTGTCACACAAATAATACTGGGAACCCTGAGAAATGATGCTATTTCTTATCATATGTTTCATTAGAGGCATTCGCTGTACATTTGAAAAATACTCTAATAATCTGAAACTTAATTTAAAGTGAGGAAATCCATTTTTTTAAATATTCACTTAATTAAATTCAGTACACTAGTATTATTTACTTTTACATTTACATTTTATAATATAATCATTTTATTACTTTTTTTCTCTAGAAAATCTATGTCTTTTACGGTGTCCCTGTGCGTATTAAGCAATGCTAAG